GTGCGAAGCGCAACTGCTGTCGCCCTCGTAACCCTTGTTGCCGACGAAAAGTAATTGCTTACCTAGTCTTCGAGGAAGCCCACCGAATTCGGTCCTGTCACGTGAAGCCGCCATCAAACATATTGAGTATGACCCGTCGAGCAACACCGCCGTATGAAGCAGTGAGCTATACGATCGCGCGTTAGTCCACGCAGAATAAATTCCAGATCTGGAAAGCTTCGCCGTCAGAGCTGGCTTGGATCTTCTGCCACCCGCATATTCGCTCAGGTAATCGGAAGAACTCGATTATGCTGTTTCGAAATTCCCGAAGTGTGGCTTTTTCCGCGTGATCCCGGAGAAAGCTTTGATTCGCTGAGGGTCATGAATGAATGCCTAGAACGCACTGAGTCGAGGTATCCCGCCCACAAAAAAACGCGTCGCGAACATCGGAGCGGGGATCGATGCCGAGGATATATGCGAAAAGCAAGGACACAAAAGAATGACGTTTCCACCGGGAACTCGCTCGGAGGCGCTTGGCACTCGAGAGAAAAAAAGAAAGATTGCCGAAGAAACAACAACTGCTGTAGTAGACTAGTGAAAAGGAGCAGTAGACATACATTCCGCGAAAATCCCGGTGCTCTCCCCAGCGAGAAGCATGGGGCTGAACATGAACGTGTGAAGTTGTGCGTGAGCTCTATGAGGGAGCTTCTCGCTTCCGGAAAATCCGACGAACAAGGCTGGGATGCGGGTTCCATAACACTTCAGCCACGTTACGCTGATGAGACGAGTTAGCCAAGGTCAGTCAGAGAGGATGAGCGAGGGAGGATAAGGCCGAGATTTGCATAAATGATGATAGTATTCTTACTTTATGCGTGTGTAAGTGTGAAGGCTCCGCGGTGAACGAAGAACTCATAGAGCGGTCTTGTCGGTGGAAAGGGGAATATTCGATGGAATCTGCGACCACCAAACGATGCTAATGTCGTTCTGGAGGAGCGTGTCATTCGACGCTTAGCAAGTTTTCGATTTAGTCGATGACTCGCGCTGATTTCGCCTCTATCCCCTTGATAAGAGCTGCAGAAGCAGAAGTGGTCGAATCAGCGCGCCGTGCTTGTTCTGTGGTGTCCGATATCCTCGCCGCAGTCAATTAGTGCGCGATCCGCAACGCAGGCTTCCGCGTAATCTCTTCCGGAGAGCCGGTCCGGCGGCAGCGTATGTGAGATCGACGGATGCCGTGCTGGATAACCTAAGCGGATCCGCTGCTAGGATCGGGAACAAACGGTCCCGCCTCGAGCTGAAATGGTTTGTTTCCCGGTACTACTTTCTGTCGAAACAGCTGTAAACGAGCGAATCGAGTCGAACTAAGGGCATCGAAGGTCGGACACCCTCGAGCTCTGGGGCACAGCCATCTCGACACCAAGGGATGTCAATCCCTCGATCTGTTTATCAGGCGTCAGCTTCTCTTCTCAGTCGTCGAAGTCAAGAAATCTCTTTGTTTTTTTCTATGAAAGAAAAATTTCTCTCGCTCATCCCTCCCACCCGCCAACTCTCGGCCTCGGCTCTACGATTTTCTCAAACTATACTACTTGACCCAACAGGTGTAGTCTCTTGTTCGCTCTCTAAACTGGCTGGTAGAGCAGTCAAGCGATTTTTTGGTCCTGCTGCCCGCTATATTCGTCTTACTGTGCACATGAGCCGATTTTTAGCTGGAAGCTATTAATTCTCAACGCTTTAGTAACGCTGTATTCAGAGAGCCCGCAGAGTGTGAGTTCCGCTAGCCGGCGAGCTACTTCGAGAGTGCTGCTGGCGCAAGGTGCAGGCGTCGCGCCGCCTCAATCGGACTCGAATGTAAACTGTTTAGATCTTCATTTGGAAAAAGGCGAAAAGCTGAAACGAGAGAGAATCCGAGGGAGAGGAAAAAAAGACTTGAAACAAGCGAGAGCTCTTGTTTCGTGAAGAGTCTTCTCGGGTGTGGATTCACTGTGAGCGAAGCCCTTTGACATGATGAATCGAGGCTTCTAAATGACGACGACGATGAAGAGGAGCATTGCGTCGAGTTCTCAAAAAATGACAGGGCCGGAGGTCGCCACGCTGTCCTCCGGGTCGGCGGCGGTCGCACGACTACGCCAACGGTAGTGCTCCCGAGATGAACACGGAGACGACGATTGCGATGTTTATGATGGTGACACTGTGATTCCACGTGTTTTAGAAGTAGCTGTACCAAACGAGAGAAATCCGTTCCAATCAACGGCGACGGGTGTCATGAGCTCTGAGGAAAGTGGCGTTTTTAATCCTACGGACGCTTTCTGCCGATTCACTTGAGGGAGCCGAGACCATCAACCAGGCGACCGAGCGTGCCGGCGACCGAGCGCGGGAGTATCACGTCGACGACGGAACCAAACGTAGACAACATGCAGAAACACGTCGCTTTCGAGGACGACGGAGGCAAATCGAGCATGCGGAACGTTTCAGTAAGTGAAGAACAATTTTTTCCAAGGTCTTCGGTGTGGAAGCTCGTCGTTGACGAGTACGAGCTGTTGATCCGCACATTAAGTGCGAAGTTCAACGTTTGTGCCCGTCGCGAAAAGCTTAACACGGTTTCACGTCGAACCAGACACAAAAACGAAGCTCCGGGACGATGGCGTCAAGTGAAGGGAGCGGAATCAATATCGAGAGCGGCTGTCCTACGCTCTGTTCACACTTTGGGCAGCAGCACTAACAACCCAACTCACTCACTTTCGTCGCTTGTGATCGAAATAACCGCTGTCGTGCCGAATGTACTTTGTCCATCTACCGCCAAACTCAGCGACAGCACGCTGACCGCGAGAATTCACGCGAACACGACCGGGAGAAGGGATCGATTCGGTCACTCCCCACTAGCATAGAATATGTTTTGTGCGCGGAAAATTCAAATTCGACGAAAAAGCGGATTACTCGCCAAACGCAAACAAGAGCAAATGCTTCAAAATAGTGGAGTCGATTACGCGTCAGCCGTGAGAGAGTCGGATCCAAGTTTAAAAAATCGCCACAATGACAACTTCCGGTGCGAACCTCGTTCTATTCTAGCGCAGTCACTGGCCGTCTGAAGAGCTCTTGCTAGGACGAAGGCTGTTACGTGTTTACGCGGGCTGCGGTTCAAGTCGGCTCCGCGGGGCGCTGGTTCTTTCCACAGCCGGCATCACGTGATATCTCTCCCCCGGCAAAGATCTCCTCTTCTGTGTGTCTTTTGCCTGTGTTTTGTTAAGTTCCATCCTCGGCTGGCTCTGCAACCACCAGGACCACCGACGGCGCGCAACCATGGTCAACGTATCCGATGCACCGACTGGCTTCAAGGTAGACACAACAATCTGACTGAGGTTCAAGCCGTAGCCGGCCTCACCTAGTCGCTTTACCTAGAAGGCACACAGAGGACGACCGACCGCCATGTTGATGACACGTTGAGGCTGGGGAACACGTCTACCAAGCTACTTGACAAACAAATGGATCGTTGTTCAACAACGATCATCACCCTACACACAACAGCCAGTCGCTACGGATCGCCGCTCTCCGCCATGCGTCGATGTTTCGAGATATGTCCAGGCTCCGATCGATTTTGGAGTATGAGGTCATAGTCACCCTGAGCGCTCGCTCGCCCTCTCTCTCATCGCTGCTCGTTCCACAACACGTTTATCCAAGAGGTCCGGAAGCCTTCCGGATTCCAGTCTGGCAGGAAACCATAATCAGGTCTCCAACTCGTAGAACACCGACCAAACAGAAACGGCGGATTTCACACGCCAGACTTATCTGCGTCTGTTTTGTTATGTTGACAATTCCTCGCTTGTCCAGAGCGAAAGAAAGAGAGAGGCGCAGCACAATCTGACAAGGGTGATTTTTCAGTCTCAGAGGAGACTCCTTTGTGACAACGGATGAATCATTCTCCTGATGTCGGTTGATTATTACCTTGAGACGTCGGGCGCACCGCTCCAAAGTCTCCACCGAGCTGCACAATAGCGGACTAAAATTCTGCTCGAAACGGAGAGGAAGTTATGAGACACGGCCAGTCAGTTCGTCCGTCCGTCCGTCAGTCAGACAGTCGCTCGACCGACCGGCCGGCCGTCCGTCGGTCCGTCGAGCGAGCGGGCAGCTCTCACTCAACGATGGGCAAACATGAAGTTGAGAGTGAAAACAAGGCTCCAGAACACATGTGTTCTCATAACACACACTAGGGATAACACTCGCGAGCAGTTTGCATCTCGGCTCGCGAACTCTCTCACCCAGGTGCTCCAGTGAGCCCATTGAATTTCTGTGCTCGTTCACTCACTTCCCGACTCGGGAAAGCTCCGACATTGTCCCAAGTTCGAATCGATTTTCATGCACGAGATGGATTTCAAAAACTTTCAATCGGACCCCGTTGATGAGTTTCCGGAAAGCGAAACGGCAAGTTCGAGCTCCAAGACGGGTATTCGAGATCCCCCGGCTGAGGGGAAGGGGCCCTTCAGTATTTTCGTATCGGGACTCAAGCACCTGCGTGAGCGAGAGTTTCTGAGGGCCTGCATGTGCCAAGTGGTGTGCTTTGATTTGGTGGAGCTCCTGGGTAGATGTTGCGCTAATTCTAACATGAAGCAATTTTGCTATCTCCCCTCACCTCCTACTGCTGCTGCTGCCGTAGTGCGTAGAAGACAACGTAGAACTGAGCCGAAAGCTCATCAGACCAGCACGGCTTCGACGTGATTCGCTCTCTTCGCTGGCATCGTATCCCAGACATTAGGCTAGGCACTGGTCGCCTTGGTTGGCTGGTTGGTGATGGTGTTGGCTTGGGGATCCACAACAACAACAGCAACAACAACGACATCGGTAGCCGCCGCAACAACAACGACAACTACACCGCTGCCGATAACATCAGATTTTAGCAGTTACACAAAGAGCAGCAGCTTTGAGCACACGTACCCCGAAAACACAGTACTGATGAATGCCTTCAGGGTGTGGGGGGTCTGAACCCCGATGGACCCTCGCCCGCCTTCAACCAGGTGCGCCGAGGACGAAGGATGTCGTTGCCGGTCGCCAAAGACCCAATGGCCCGAAGGAGGAGCAGCGCAACTTCAACATGCTCTTCGTGTAAGTGTTTCCGTCTCTGCCCACCGGCGTCGCTCACGAACCTATTGTTTCTCATCGGGGTTTATTTTCGATGATTTACTTCGCGATAAGATTTTGGAATTCGTGTCCCTATCGGAGTAATCCCGGACGTGCTCGATTTGCCGCGGCGAAGAGTGCAAAGCGATTTTTTCTACACGACGGAGAGTGACCGAGGCCACAGACAATTCACGAATCCTCATGGAAATTTGTCGCGAGCGTAGGATTGAAAACGCTGGATTTGGGATGAGGTGGGGTGGGGAAGAATAAGAGGTCACTTCGCGTAGACATCATTGGTTCGAGCAACGGTGAATGGCTCGTCTGGTGTGTTGATAATCGATTGGCAAATGATCGCGTGAAACTTGGACGTGATGGTGTCATATCGGAAACAATTGAATTTGAGGATGTCTCTCTGACAACTGTGCTGGCGATGGGAACGCCGCTGAGAGTTTGCTTGGCTCCCCGATGACAAGTTTGACGACCCTCAGCGAGACGCGGATAGTGTCAGCCGTTCTCGCCAGCGCCGTTCGCTCGAGAAAAAATCGGGTTGGAGATGTCGCCGACAGGAGCGGTGAACGTTCTCACCCTTAGCGATTTTCGTGCTCCACGAATTCAGCGGATAATGGTTTCCATGATAGGTCGGAAGAAGCTATTCTCCAATAGTGGTCTAATCCTCCTGCAATTCTCCCGGAAGTTCTCCCTCCCGTTCTTCCTAATCGGATTCGGGACAGAATCGAGAGGTTCGAGGAAGTGTTTGAATCTGCCAGCTACGACCTTGAGAACTCCAGAAGCTTCGGTCAATCTCCTCAAAAAGATGCATCGCGTAGAATATAGATGAGCGGCCATTCGTTTTGAGCCACCATACGGTGCTCGGCACGTACCCCCAAGCATTGAATCCAAATTCTCGCTTGAATTTCTTCTCGGCCCTAATATTTCTACCCTAAGCAAACCATGACGAGAACTTCCGGAGCGAGTTATTCTTCGATCATGCTTTTTCAGTGAGAGGCCGCTCAGTCATCCCGGCCGTTTCCTGGTTCGGAGCAACCATATTCATCAACGTCCTTCATTATCCATTTATCCCTCCTTCGATCCATTTATAATCGCTCGATGTTTTCCTCTGGTGTCGAAGCCATGAGCTAAACGAGAAAGAGTTTCCACTATCTGAGTGCAAAATCTTCCGGCGCTCGAAGCAATGGAGGTGTCAGCTGTGTCCGAGAACGGGTCCGCTGTTCAGAATACAGCGATCCCGATCTTAGCTCGACAGACCGAGGGAAAGGGATGGGAGGGAACGGTGGGTGTTCAAACGTTTATATGTGACCCCCAGATGGGTGATTGAGGAAGGTAGACAACATTGAACATTTCCATCTCATTGACTGACTGAGAGATACAACGCTGTACGTCTGATTGAGAGCAAGGATGAGGGCAGATACCTCCCGCCAGTGTTTTGACCTAGGGTCCCTCTCCCGAAGGTCTCTCCCGCTAGCGGTCTCACATGGCACTGCCTCGAGAGCAGAGCCGACGACTCGGCGATGCCAAGTTCATCTAGTGTTCGAAGTCAACTTCGCTGATGGTGTGGAGTTAGCTTCGTGCCCGTCGTTAGTGCCATCGGAGTCGATATCGTTAACGTGATCGGGCCACCTCCTGGCCGTGCCGTTGCCGTGCCAGACTGTTTTAGAAGTGCTAAGCTAAACTAAACTCTCGGGGGAGTAGTAGTGAGACCCGACTGTGAGAAAGGGGACCGCTCCGCGGCCTTTCGTGGCAGCCACAGACGAAGCGCGCCAAGTACGCGCCAACGGCCACGGAATGGAAGACTTGTCCCCGAATTCGGAAGGGGTCCCCCCAAAAATGAGCGTTCAGAATAGACGGAAACAGTTCGCCAAAACCCAATCGACTTTTAGCCAGACGTTTTCCGGTGAGTGGGTTGCTCTTCTTCCCTTGGCGAGGTCCCGCTCAAGGTCAGAGGATCTCAATCAGCTGTTACGCGTTCGTCTCGATCGAGCAGGAACTCCTCTCCGGGAAAGCGGGGGAGGTGTCGCAAGAGACCCTGAGAGGGCGGAATGCCAATCTGACGATGCAAGCGTAGAGCCCTCGGAATGGAATCCATCGGTTTCTGAACCTGAATTCAGCCGAGGCTCGTTGACAGCTTGCCCGGTGGCCTTGGGAAAATCTCCAAGAATTCAGAGGAACCTAATTCATTTTCGAAATCGGCCGCGAAACTCTGCCCGTTTTCACTATTCACACGCCTGACGGCGTTTCGTATTCATGATCAAACCCGATGAGGCTCCAATCTGAGTCACGAACATTTGTGGTCGCTCGCGATGTCGTAATCGAGTTGAGTGAAGTTCCGTGTCCCATTACCGCAACTGCGGATCTCATATATCTTTTCTGATCGGCATTCGATAGGAAAGTTGTGACCTCGCTCATCGGTGGCCCGGGTGAGAATTTCTGACGACCGAGGTCCGTGCCACTGCCGAGGAGTTTTGCCCTCCTCGGTTAGTTCCTGATTTTGATTATTATTCATCCCTGGACTTCGAACTATACACTCGTTTATTATCTCCGACTTGCGATAATTGCTGTCAACGAATCATAGCCCCAGGCCCTGCTACGCTGGATGACCACGTCCGTGCTGACGAATCGCACCTTCTTCTTTCGGTCACGCTCGGGGTCCGTTGTCGAAGCCGACTTGATGAGGGTGCGAACCCGAAGAATCAGATTACCAGCTCTGTGTCTATTCGCTGACGTCGGCAGATGATTCGCGGATTACTGAAGAGGGAGGCGCGGGGCTAAAAAAGACGAGTCCCTCGAACAGGTGGTGCAAGCTGACCGATTGACTGGACCGGAATACCATGGAATACGACCGGAATCGCAGATGGGCCTCGATCCCATAGACGGGTCACAGAATTCGTGGCTCTCTCTAGAAGGGCGAGCATACAACTTCGGTGACTCGCTCTGCCGATTCGTTTGCGTACGAGTTTTTGACATCTTTCTCGGGTTGGCTCTGGAGAGTGCTAAATGTCGGCCGTAGCACTTGGTTTGATGCTGCTATCGCCGATGCGAGATGACCGCGCTGAGATATGGACGACCGTTGCGAAGACGAAGAAGTCGTCAGAGTCGTGCAGAGGCGGTCCACAACACTGTTGCCATTGCTACCACCGACAGTGCTGCTGGTGTGGTAGTGCCGTCGTGGTCGTCGTGCATCTCAGTGGCTGACTGAGCAAGCGGAATAAATAGAAGGGAGACGCATATAGAACTCCTCGAAGAAAAACAGGGAGATACTCGGACCGCCCGGCTGATGTCACTTAGAGGCTCGAGTGAGTTGACCCTAGCATTCGTCCGTCCATCAGTTCGGTCGGCTCGCTTGCAGACGATCACTTCGACTAAGCTCAGCTCTCTCCTGACCACGCCGCGTTGCGCGCGTCACTGTCTGTGATGATGATCGTGATTCAGAGATCTCACGGTCTTCGGGTCCTCCGTTCGAGAACTCATTTTCCGAGGGATATGAGATGGCCCTCAGCCACGGCTCATATTCGAATGGAGCGTCCCGAGTCAGAGGCGTGTGAATCTACGAGGGAGGGTCAATGCTCAGGGGAACCCCGGGAGAGTTCACAGGACATTGTCGATGAGGGAGTGGGAGCGAATCAAGAACATCGATTTGGCCATGTCCGATGACAGGGGTTCCGGTTGTTGGGGGATAGGCAGTGGCTATAATCAGGCATTCTCATGGGGGAGTGGGTGTTTGTTTATCCGTCGGAATACGGCTACAATTAGAGGAACGTACGATCAAAGGCTAGGGGAATGCGCCGCTGAGCGAGAGGGATCGGGGGGACGAAGCGAGAACCCAGCTCTACTCTCCATCTCGTGTGTAAAAGGGAATGACCTTGATTCCGACGCTCGAGAAGAGGGAATCGGATGAGGAAAAGAGTCGACCTACGTAGCCCAGCGCATCGGTCGGGATGACCACTCTGAACACGTTATGGGGAGCGACGCGTATGATCTCGATTTATCTCGACGTCGTTCTGTCTCAGCAACATGGCACGGGGGCGAGGTTCAGATTCGAGTAGATCGGGTACGATGGGAGAGCAGGACCTCACCGGAGAAGATACGAGTCGCTATCGGTCGCACTACGAAAATTCCAAAACTCTGGGGAGCGGCGTATCGAATCCGATGGTTCGGGTTCTGAGAGCACGTCTGACCAGCGTTATGAGGGAGGAAGTCGACTCTCAAGCGCGAACATGTCGCGAGGGAAAAAAGTTAACAGCCCCAACAGGGAGGACTGTCTCTGACAGAAGCTACGGGGGAGAGGGGGGCGAGTTGTGAGAAGAAATCTAAGGGTCGACTTGCCTCCTCCGACTGCGGATCCGAGAGCGCGGAACAAGTGCTGACGTGTCGCACTGTGTTTGAGTCGACTGTGAACATGCACTGACACACTTGCTTCGGAGCGAGCTCTGGGACCTGCCAGAAAAGTGGCGTGCCCTTTTACGGAGTGACAAGCCGTCCTATTTGCGGGACATTGTATGTTCCCTTCATTTTTGGAAGGTGCAGTTTTTCACCTCCCGACGAAGAATTCCAGAGCTCTTCGAATTCGTGCGACTTTCCGTCGTCCTGATTCCTACCTATTTTCATCCTGACTCTCTACGCTCTACGCTATGTGTTCCGTGACCTTCCATAGTGTGTTCGAAATTCACTTCTTTGGTTCGATACGCCCCTCGAGCCCACCTTGATGGTTCTCCGCCGCTGCTTCGTCGAGGAGGTATCGGAGTTTGCCGTGTCTCCCGAGTGCCGCTGACAATTTTCTGACTTCAAAGGCCTCGACTGCGGAGGAAAAAATAACTTTGGCCGACACGTATTTCTCGTCGGTATTTTTTTTCATCGGGGAGGTACCTGGCTCGAGCCTGGTAGATTTGGTTATCGTTATTCGGCTACGAAGCACTCCCTTTCAATCCGCAACATACATTGCGTAAGGGATGATACATTGGGAATGACGA